TATCGATACATTATTAGCAAACAAAATATCACGATACTACACAGTATCGATTTTTTCCCCCCACCCCTAGTCACAATCTTCCCCAGTATGGATGTCCCAACAATTTCACCACAAGGTCTGACCCAAGCGCCACATTTCAGACTCTACAAGCCTCAGTTAGTATATTAGATGTTAAAGTTTGTGACAGTACAACTAGAAAAAGGTTGAGACAAGTGTGGCTTCTTTGGAAGGGTCACCAAGAGGAAACCTATTCTGTCTAAAAAGAACATGGCTGCACGGCTTAGGTTTGTAAAACTGATCAAGAGTTCTGGAACAATTTCTTTTGGACAGACAAGACCAAAGTAGAGAAGTCTGGTCATAAAGCGCAGCAGCACATTTGATGAAACCCAAATGCAGCATATTAGCAGAAACATCTCATACCAACTATTAAGCACAGTGGTGGAGGGGTAATGATTTGGGGGTTTTTTGCAGCCACAGGACCTGGGCACCTTGCAGTCACTGAGTCATGAACTCCTCTATATACTCAAGTATTTATAGAAAGTATTTCTTCAATGGCTAAAGCTAGGCTGAAAATGTGTTACACAGCAGGACAATGATCCCAAGCATAGCAGCAAATCTACAATATAATTACTGAAAAAGAGAAGAATTAGGTTGTTGCAGTGGCCTGGGCTTAGTCCAGACTTCAACCTGATTGAAATTCTGTGGCCAGAACTGAGAGCCTAAACAAACGTCATTAAATCATGTGATGTACTTTGTTTTTCACGAGACTACATAGAGGCTTGTGAAAATGTTTCATTTTCAAAAGCTTGTATTTGCACCCACACACCAGTAAATGGATCAGGCCTTTCTTTCCATTATCCTCGCAGCTTTTACGGCAGGAGCTAAAGTGATGAACAACAAGCACTTGAATTTGGTTGCAGCTGTAGCATCTGTTGGGGGAAATGTGCCTTTTTGTTTTTTTAAATTATAGAAGCTCTTACTAACAGTGTGAATGATGCACTCACAGGCATAGAGTATTCACTGCCAGGCTGCTTTGGTTCATGAAAGTTTTATTCACTTCAGACACCAGAAGCTCAAGAGCTTTAATATGCTCATTTCAAACAGCTCGCTTTTATGAGCTCACACAAAGCAGCCCGCTTTTGTCCAAAAATCTGAATAAGAGCCACAATTACGCAAACTATGCCAACTCTAATACATGTAAATCCAAATTCTTGAGGGGAAAAAAATAATTTTGTTACACTTGCAGGGAGTCAGTGGAAAAGATGGCAATCCTGGGCCTGCTGGGGAGAGAGGAGACAAGGTAAGGCTAATGATCAACTTGTTTTGTATTGTCACTATTTAAGACATGGATTTAAGAAGACAAGACTTTAAAAATCCTCTCACTGGTTTTGGCTCTCATTTGTGTGTTTTCCAATCCTCAACCTTTAGTTTTAGCCTTCTCTGATTTCCCTAGAGAAGGCCTCTAAGTGCTCTGTTAGCAAAAACAATTAGACAAAAACTCTATAACCGCCTAACACAAAGAGCCTCTTAATGAGATGCCCCAATGGACCAATAAAGCCAAAGGGGCTCGAGTGTAAACAAGTCTGCATTGCAATAGCCGCTCTGTTTTTGTTTTCATGGAAACCAGAAAGAACAACCTTTCCCCATTAAACACGAGCTAACTCTATTTCATTATGTTTTGAACAGGGCGAGCCGGGTGTGAGTGGTCAACCAGGACCAAAGGTAAGATTGTTTTGGTTTTTTGTTTTTGTTATTGGTTTTTTTAATCCTGTCCTGCTGGCAGGTTTTGCAATCAGACGTGATCTGAATGCATGGTGGTGCCGAACACATTTAGCTTTTGCAAGAACAGCTATACAGAATCTCTATAGGCTCCTCTTGTTCATGTGAATCATTTATCTGCTTATTTATTCATTTATTTTTGTGTCATTTTAAATATTAATATTATATATGGATATGACGATGTCTAAGTCAAGACAGGCAAGCACGTGAACACAAGAAATTTGATAATACACAGATACATAAATCCACAATTATAGTGTGTGTGTATGAGTGAGAGAGACAGAGAGAGAGAGTGTGTGAGAAAGTCTTTGTCACAAATGTATTTCATAATGAGGGTGGGAAGCTGCAACAATACCCACCAGAAGCCTGAAGGCACACAGAGAGAAGGAGAGAGGCCCCAGATGGGGTGCCCACAGCCAAAGGGTGAGAATCCCAGAGAACCAGAGGTAACGGGCACTCGACCCTGCTAGAGGCTGGCCACCCTGGTACGAGCCGATATCAGGGTCCCAGGGTTCCAGCGCCACTCCTCCCCGACATGGTGGAAGTCCAGGCCAACCTGTGCCACCAAGGGAGCGGGCTGACGACCTCCACCCACACACCCTGGGACCAACAAGCACCAGCAGGGACTGGCAGAAAACCACTGTCTCAGTAGGCACCCTCATTCCCCAAAATCCACCATGATGCTAAAGAAGGTTGACCCGGGGTCAGCAATGTCAATGCCCCAGAACACCACTGAGTCTGGGTCAGCACCCACCACCCCCACCACAAAGAGTGTATTGGAGTGCGCAGATGAAGACTCATCTGGAGATGTGTAACAAAGGGAAGGGCCAAGACTAACTGGTCTGGGTCCAAGACAAGATGCACCCAGCAACAGTTGTTCTGTCTCCTGGACGCTCCACACCCTTTCTCATTACATGATGAAAAACTTTGTATTTTGTTCCGATAATTATCTGGATTTTACTAGGGATCGGTGGAAATGAGTAGTTTATTTTTGGTAGAAGCATCATTTTAATGGTGGTACCTCTTTCCATGAGTAATATAGGCAAACTTCTCCAACGTTTGAGATCATCCTGTTTTTAATAAAGGAAAATGATTCAACCGTACCAGGTCTGAGAGCTTGGCAGAAAAATGTTATACCTAGATATCTAAGGTTACCTGACTGTAGTGGTCAGTGGTGGTGTTTTGAAAATTACAACTTCATGAAAATTCTGAAAAAGGTAGCTGCTAGCAAAGGCCAAGAGTGTTTGTAATACCGTGCTGGAAAACCTTCTGGCCCTGGGGCATTATTGTTTGAGAAATGGTTTAAGTCTTCATGGAATTAATACATTGAAATAGGTGAATCCAGAACCACAATATGTTCGTCATTTAGTTTTGGTAGATTCATTTTGTAAAGAAATTTTGCAATGTCAGCGTGGGCAGGATTCAAACTTGATTTTTTGTTCCAATTCTGATACAAGAATTTTTTCCTTCTTTTTCTTATATGAACAGTAAGATAATATTTTGCCCTACATTATTACATCTCCTGCTTTCCATAGAACACGTGTCAAGACAGACAACACGGAGAACAAAAGAGACACACCACCAGGGAGACATAGATGACAGAAAAACTAGAATACAACTCAACTAAATCCTAACTAATAATAACAGATAACTGTTTTAACATGTTTTCAATAAAACATAAAGAATCAAAAATACAAAATAAACCCAAAACGCTGGGTCACAGACCAAGCCCCGGACAACATGGTGATATTCCTTTCAGGTCATTATTATCTAAATATGCTGCCCATTTCTTTTAGAAATAATTAATGAAGTTTTGTTCTTTTTTTCTCCTTTTTTTTTCTGCCACTTGTCCCGTTTGGTTCTTTTGCCATCAGAATTATTGTCTAAAGGCCAAGAAAGATGCCCAATGGATTTAATATACCAAGTGGACCATCCCCGCCTTGCCGTACTGGTCCATTTGATTGACCTTTGTTTTTATTGTCTATTTTATTTTATTTTCAGTTGTTACATACGGGACAGACGTGACTGGGGGAAAGGAAAGGGAGAAAGAAAGAGAGGGAGGGAAAGAAGAACAGCGGGGAAGAGAAATGGAGATAAAGGGCACAAAAAACAAACAAACAAAAAAAAGGTGGGGGGCAAAAAATACATAATCAATCACCTGGATCACCTGTTGAGAGAGAAAAAAAAAGACAGAAAGCAAGCAAAAAAGAGAGCAATATAATAAACATCATCATTGCAATAATCTATGTGTAAATACTAAATATTGACTATTATTGCACAGCACGTAAGATCGACAGCGCACAGTGTGCTTTGAGGTAGCAGCAAAGAGAGGTGTAGTTTGTCTGTGAACACCTGTGTGTAAACCTGTGAGCATGAGCGCGCTTGTATTCAAAAGATTCCTTCATGTAACGATCTGCTAGAGGGTGTGGGGAGCCATAGCCCTGTCCTCCAGGGCATGAAGCAGGTATGGAGGAGATCCAGGGACCAGAGACCCCCAGAGCGCGAGTCCAAGGAAGACCAACGGAGGGGCAACCGTGCCACTCTACCGAAAAGAGCTGAGGAGAGCCCCAGATGAGGGATCACCCAGCAGCCGCGGAGCAGAAGCCAGAGAGGGTTGCAGTAATGTGCCATAAGCTCCACTGGCAGCCAGCTGTGCCACAGTGGACCGAGCCCCAGGCCCAGAGGCCGAGGGCACTCCACCCCCCGAAGGGGCACGACCGAGCCACAGGCACCAGGCCCCGACAAGCAGCCACCGGGAGTGAGCCGGTGTATACCTGAGCGCCCAGCCCATGAAGTTTTGTTCTTTCAGTAATGATGTAATAAATCTCCAGATCCTAATTGGTGGCCTGACTCTTTTCTGAATTTGATCATTTGTGATATCGCTCATAATGGAGCTGCTAACTAGAGATTGTCAGTGGTATACTGGTAAAAGGAAGGTGTAATCCTTGAGAGTGATACGAACGCCAAGAATTGAAAAGACCAAATTCACTCTTGTATTATTTAAGAATGATGGACTTCAAATTCCTTTGACTCACTGCTGGATTGAACCTGTCACTTTCTAGGTTGAAGTCTCCTCCTCCTAGGTTGAAGAAGCACGCTGTCAGAAAGATCTGAGAAGGAAGGAAAAACTAGCAATACACAGATACTATAAATCTGCCTTCTGAATCTGTAATAGTGTTGCTAACAGTGAAGTTATTTATTTTTTTGCTTATTTATATGGCTACGCTTCTTTGTTTTGAATTGTAACAGGCTGAGAACATGGGAGGGAACTGTGGAGAAGTGAGTTAGGGTTAGTTGAAAGACGATGTCTGCCTGTGTCATTTAATCGGTGCTGAAGTCGATTGAAATGTGTTTTTTAATCTTTTTTTAAATTACTTTTAAAAC